GTTTATGAACACAATTTTGGTGGCTGTACAGGCAGTATCTCAATTTACCCACCTGTTCCCCAAGGCTGGTCTTGATGTTCTTTCCCCACGCCCCCACCGCCATCACTGTTTAATGAAAGCACCTTCGAGCATTTCAGAGCCCCTCTTGTGAGAGGATCCCCAAAATACCGTCACTGAGTCAAACGACACAGACTTGTTAAAGCATTTCAAAGGTGTTTTTTAAGAGGCACAGAGAAAGAACTCTTCCCGTTCACTGATTGACACCCCCAAATCCATGGGGCGGGGCTGGGCTAGGGCTGCAGTCCAGGTCCCCGTTTCCAGTCGCAGGAACTGATTCCTGGCGCTCTTGCTGCCACGCTGTGGGGTCTGCCCTGGTCGCGAGCTAGAGGCAGGAGCCAGGGCTGGGCATTGGTCCAGCTGCTTGAATGTGGGACAAGCATGGCTTCACCGCTAGGGTAGATATCCACACCTGTTTTGGTTTTCAGTAAGGCTTATTGAGGGATAATGTATCTAAAGTAAAACTCAGCTTTTTAAAAGTTGTCCAGTGTTACAGCTAGTCCCACAGAGAAGGCTCAGCTTATTTCTGTCACTTGGGAAGTTTGGTTGTCATTGAGTTCATCCTCTTGCCCCCAGCCTTTAGCAAACACTGGCTTTCTGTCCCTGACTCAAAACAGGAAGCTGCCTCTGTGTCATGTTTTTTCTTTTGCTCAATGTAATGTGCTTGAGATTCATCCATGATGTTACATGTAACAACAGTTTGTTTCTCAGTGTTACTGAGTAATATTCACCGCACACATGTGTTACATTACACTTCTCTGTTTCCCATTGGACGGACATTTGGGTTCCAAGTTTTTGTGATTATACATAAAGCTGCTATGGGTAGCTGCATAGATGTTTTTATGTGAGCAGGAATAGTCATTTTCCTTGATAAATACCAAAGAGTGGACTTGCTGGGTTGCTTGATCCTGAGTATTTAACTTTTTCAGACTCTTTGAACGCTGCCAGAACCCATCTTTACTTTTATTGGAAAGGCAAATTTTACAGAGAAGAAACAGATAAGGCCTTCTATCTGCTAGGAAGCCTCCTTCTGACTCTCCCACATGGGTGACTTGGGCCATTCTCTACTGCTTTCTCAGAGCATAGACAAAGAGCTGGATTGGAAGTGGAGCAGTTAGGACTTGAACTATCCCAGAATTGCAGGTGGAGGATTAACCTGTCATGCCACTGCACTGACGCCTACCCTCTGTATACCTACCAGCAATTGTGAGAGCTTCAGTTTCACATGATTAATACCCATAGAATACTATGTGCCTCACCAGATTTTTTTTTCAAATATTTTCTTCCAGTCAGTATCTTGTTATTTATTGTTAATTTTTCTTTTTAAAATTTTTATTTATTTATTTACCTCTTTTTTATTATCATTATCATTTTATGATATAGTTCCATAGGCCCTGGGCTTCTCCCCCCCCCCCCCCCAGTCCCCTTTCCCTCCCACTGAGTTTCCCTGTATTATTACTGTAGTATAAACAGTCCTTTGTGCATCATTGTGGGCATGGACAATGGCAGAGTCCAGCATCCTATTGTCAATCGATATGAGTCAGACTGCTTATGATTACATCAAAGAATTGTAAAACCTAATATACTTTTAAGACCCTGTGCTACTTGGAAATGGGGAGGGAGAGCAGAGAAATTTTCCATCTCTTTAGAAGGTGTGAGTAAGACGTGAAGTATAACTTATCAGGAACATAACAGATAACTTATGGACAACAGACTTGAATCAGCATTAGACAATAGTAAAACTACAAAGATATACAGGGGGAATCAAGAGCGATCCTGACAACCTCTTAACAGGAGGTCATATGCACAAAGTAGGGGGGACCCCAGGGTGGAGCAGGTGGACAGGAGGAGGCTTGTATCCCAACCCTGGGGACTCCCAGATCCTCACCAAGGACTATCAGTATGGGCACCAAGGACTACATCCCAACTGCCAAGCCGACCATGGGGAACTGGAATACCTTCAGAGGCCAAGAACTCTGAGGTCATCCACCCCCATTTGGATCTACCACATAAGAAGGAAGAAGCCCAAACCCTTCCTTGCAGGACCCAAGGTCATCGGAACAGTAAGCTTCCTTCAGGACTAGGGAGAGAGCTTTCTCTGGTCCTCACTTAGTTCCAACTTTGGATCCCCACCCTATCTTGCAATGACCATCAGGGTCATTCCAAAGCCCCCCACCCCAAGACATGCACACACACGCACTCACACACACAAGTTGGAATAGAGAACAAAAAGGAAAGCTTGGAACCAGACAGGAAATGGTCAGCATGGACTCACATATGCCTTACTAGGTAGGACACAAAGATTAGTTACTCCTCACTAAGGTATTGAAGATTTCTCTGCACACCCCTCAGAAAACTGTTCTGCACTTCAACTGTTGACATGTCTTGTTAGAGTTATAAGCCAGTTTAGACTATCCCAAAATCTGCCAAGTTCAGCAAAATTAAGCTTCAACACTATAAACTGCTGAATGCTAAAATGAAAATAGTTACGCGACAGCTGAATGGTACCCTATAGCCATTTTAAGGTGTATAGCAGCCGGTTCTGTGTATAATCCAGAATTGAAATGTCAATGAAGTAGTCAGAGGATGCGGTTAAGAACTTGCATTTTCAAATATATTTGTTACTCAATACCATGTCAATTAATTCCATAATGTTGTAAATTGATGTTAATGTTGTGGCTTTTTATTTTTATTTTTTTAATTTTTAAATTTTTTTAGATTTATTTTTATTGAAAAGTCAGATATACAGAGAGGAGGTAAGATAGAGAGGAAGATCTTCCCTCTGATGATGATTCACTCGCCAAGTGAGCGCAACGACCGATGCTATGCCGATCCGAAGCCAGGATCCAGGAACCTCTTCCAGGTATCCCACACGGGTGCAGGGTCCCAAAGCTTTGGGCCATCCTCAACTGCTTTCCCAGGCCACAAGCAGAGAGCTGGATGGGAAGTGGAGCTGTCGGGATTAGAACCGGCGCCCATATGGGATCCGGGTGCGTTCAAGGCAAGGACTTTAGCCGTTAGGCCACGCTGCTGCCGGGCCCTGAGAAATGCTGTCCTAATACCAGTGAGTCTACATTCACTTGGTCCCTTGTTGAGGTCTCTTAAGGATTCTTAGTACATTTGGTGAATTACAGGTAAGCCTTCTCTCCTGCTGGAGGGTCTAGAGCATGGATAACAGATTCGCGTTCTTCCTGTTCCTCCCCATCCCCTTCCAATGAAAGCAAACCTTTGCTCTCTGCTCCTGACTGCTCTGTTTCCTAAGCATCTCATCTTCTCCCACACTCCGTGGCATAGACAGCGTTGATTTATTTACTCAAGAACTGCAGGCTCTTTAACAAAATATAGAATGCATGCATACATAAAGCTCTGTGGAAGGATGCAACTGGATATATGTCCCCAGGGCAGAAATTCCATGGACAGAGGTTGACCAGCAGCCTGGGGGCCTCCTATGACTTGTATTCCCTCCACTAAGAGGAGCTGTGTGCCGACTTCCACGCCATGGATGGTTCTGTCAGGGACTCCCATCTCATTGCTGCAGGGAATATGGAAGTTTCTCACCTGCTCCTGGTGCTGCTTCCCCTCTGCACTGGGTTGGTGCCTAGAATGGCACACCCCTTCCTTGCCCTCTCTAGTTGCCTGGATGTGTCCTCATCCTTGCAGCTCAGCTTGTGTTTCACCTGGACTAGATCCCGGATTCCGTCCACCTGGCATTTACCTTAGGTGACACTTCCGTTGTGGAGTACCGAGTTCACTGTTTCCACCTGATTGTGAGAACCTTCAACAAGCCTCTAGTGGGGCCCAGCGCCTTCCCCAGGGCCCAGCCGAGGCAGACTGGCTGCTTTGTGTCTGAGGAATGTCCAGGGTCCAGCAGCCCGGCTCCTTGAAGCTTGAAGTCTGGTTCTCTCTCCCCAGTGGCTTCTTCTCCAGCCTTTCTTGTTCTTCACATTGCTCTTACTTTGTGCTTGATATTTTTTCATTGCCACATTCTTTCGGGAGCAAAAGTGAGAAAAATCTGCCAGACGTTTAGGCTGTGTCTTCCATCATTATGATAAGAAAGAATAGGTGATACCCTCCACCCGTCATCTGCCTGGAGAGAGAAGTTGCTGTTAAAGGTCTCCTAAGACCTATTTTGGTATCAAATGTGCCAGTGTAGACACTTCTGGTAGTGCTGAAATCTTCATGCATCCCCCTGGCTACCAGACCCTTCTGGGTTCCCTCTTGGACCGTTAATAAGAAGGTGGCTCTCTCAGCCTATCTCAGCGTGTCTTGCTATGTTTGGGGACCTGGGCTCGTCTCATGATAGGTGCTTTTCTGTCATGGTGGGGCCACTGTGGCTGAATGTGAAAACCTGCAGGTCCTTCCCTTGCAGTGCAGAATGCGCTTAGCTGTGCTCTGGGGTGACACTGGACGCATCCCATGATGTAGAGCAATAAAAGGAGAAAGAGGCTGGTGTGAGATTTTTGTGGTTGAAGTGGCTTATACCTGCCTGACCATATCCCTGAAGGACAGACCCATCTCTGTCACTTAAACCCTGTGCTCTGAGTAATTGGTGTCTCATGGGAGGGCTGAGGAGTTCACTGGACACGCCTAGCAGCCAGAGTGTGTGGTTGGGTGGTTGTGGTGGGTTGAAGGCATGCTAGCTGAGGGTAACGAGGTGAGCATCTGGAAGGAGCAGCCCTTAGATATAATTGGAAGGGACAGGGGAGAGCAGGGCGGCTGCAGGGACAGAGTACTAGGCACACAAGTTTGTATGGGCTGGGCTTGTGAGTTTATCCAGAGCGTTGAGGGTTGCTCAGGCCCTGCTGGTTGTGTCCCAAGGCTCTACAGGCTCCTTCCAAAGCCAGTCACTGAATGTGTTCCAGGCAAGCCTACGGCTTCAGCCATGGAACTGTTGGCAGGCTTGGGAAGGAAGGCTTTTTCACATACTACCCTCTATTCACCAGGAGAAGATCGGCTGGCGGAAGGATGCGCTGCACCTGCTGGTGTTCACCACGGATGATGTGCCACACATTGCGCTGGATGGGAAGCTGGGGGGCCTGGTACAGCCACATGATGGCCAGTGCCACTTGAACGATGCCAACGAGTACACCGCATCTAATCAGATGGTGAGGACTGGAACTCTGCCTGTTTCGTGACCCTGCCCCACCCAGCCCCAAGCGCTTCCTGGCCATCTGGTCCATTCTTGGGACTGGGCTGTGTCACTCCATCTTCTCCAATTGGATGGCCAGAATTCCTCTGTAACATGGGATTAGCTACAGTAACGAAGCTGTTGTTCTTTCTGCCACTGTGTATCGTGTGGAGGAATGTTTAGTTAGGGGAAGAAATGATTTGGGAAAGATCTTTTGGGGCTTCCACTCCCGATAGTCTCTGACCATATCTGCTTACTTTAAAATAAATGTGTGCAGAATTTGAAATACATGATAATAGTTTGTTTCAATAAACCCATGCATACCTGCTACCCAGACCTAACAGTTGTTGAAATGTTGCCACACTTAATAGGCACTTTTATTTCACCCATCTATTCCCTCTTCTGCCGAAAATCCAGTGGGGTGTCTGGCCAGAGAGAAGTGCTTCCCAGTATTCTTTATCAGGCAGACCTGTGTCTTCCAGTTTCAAGAGATGGGCAGCACCCAAGCTTTCATGGATTCTGGGGAAGGGGTCTTATAACCCTAGGATGGCCGTCAGGTCATGCAGCCCTAGAGGCAAGGATCTGTGATAAACCAGGTCAGAGTAGCAGGATACACATCAGATGACATGACTGTGGATGTTTAAGAGATGTAAGGAGAGGGAGCCAGCACAAGCTCCCCATCTTCTGTGCCCTACCCCATTCCCTGTTCCACAGCCCAACTTGTAGCCCAGAGGTCAGCAGCCACCTCTGCCTGTCCTAAGCTGTTGCAAGACAGAGCGACGTCCCTGGGAGATAGGGGACATCTTAAGCATCAGGCATGGGAAAGGGAATGGGAAGGGAAGTCTCAGGGAACAGCACATGCTGGTGGCAGTTGGTGACTGTTCTCACTGGATCTCTCCACATGTTACCATCCCTGCTGAAGGGTAATAATGCAAACCAATGGTGTGGGTAGGAGAGGTGGATCTGGTTAGATGGGGAGCAGATGAAGTTGGTGATTTGGGGGCTTTCAGGGTTCCCTGAGGGAAGGATGCTTTGTGTGACAACTATGAATGTCCTGGTATACACTGGGGCCAATGTCTTAGGAATGTGACAGTCGTGACTCTGCCTTGGCCCTAGGACTACCCCTCGCTGGCTTTACTCGGAGAAAAATTGGCTGAGAACAACATCAACCTCATCTTTGCAGTGACAAAGAATCACTATATGCTCTACAAGGTATGCTTGGTGTGTGGGTGGGCGGGGGGAGCAGGACTTGGTGTGGGGAGGGGCTCATCCTGGGGCTGTGCTGGCCCTAAAATGAAGGGGAGCTTGGGAGTGGGACAGGGGATCGAGGAGAGTGAGGAGTGGTTGCAGTCCTGCTGGATGTGGGAGAGATCCAAGGTTGGGTGGCATTCAGCCTTGCCTTAATCAAATAGACAGTCATATATGAATGCAGCTACCAAGTGTTCACACCATCGTGTGTGCCTTTACAAGGGATTTAAACACAAACCATGATGTCTGATTTGCTCCTGAGAAGAACCTTGGAAGTTCTGCATGTGATGGCAAAATTGAAGCACAAAGGGACACATTTCAGTGGAGTAGTAGTGCACATACAGGAAACGGAGGCACCCAAGTGGGCCCCATGGCTAATCCCACACTCAGAGCTATAAGCTTCGCCCGTGGAGGGTCTGACACCAGAGCCTTGCCTCTCAAAGGCAACAAACCAGCTTTTAGCTGAGACTGTCCCTGGAGTGTCATTGCCAGCTTCCCTGGTGAACATGAATCCTTCCAGTCACGCACTGCCCTAGAACTCTCTGAGCGCCCCAGGGGTGCTCACATGAGCTGCAGGTCCCTCTGCCATCCTCTGAATGGAGACACCGTGAGAACTTCCCCAGGAATCCTTCTCTGCCACCCCGGTCTCCCCCCGGGAGCGACCAGTCTGCTTCCCTCTCCATATTGTTCTTAAATACTCACCACCTGATGCATGTGCTGCATGCCCGTCTCACTGCTGCTGCCTGGGATCGCCACTGATCCAGTTCCACCTCTGGCTTCTGCAAGCCCAACTCAGCTTTACACAAGGACAGCAAGGGAAGAGGAATTTGCTGCCTATCTGTTCAGAGGCTTCAACTGGACTGGGCCGTCCTCACCTTTCACAAGGGAGGTGGTCCACCGTGGTCCTTTGTTAGTACCAAAATCCACCGTGCAGACCATAGTAGGCTATGAACCGAGGATGGAGTCTACCTCTGCAATATGACATGGTCATGTTAGTCCAGGCAGAAGATGGAAGGAGGAGGAAGGAAAGATGGGCTAGGAAGACCTGGAAGAAAGGGTGGGCTTGAGGCCTCTGGAAAAGGTGCCTATTTCACTCCTGCAGAGTAGGCGGGGTACACCATACAGCTGACCCTGAATGTGTGTGGACCAGGGCAGTGGGGGTAAGAAAGTCCCCAGGAGCAGATCAGCCCTGGAGGACAGATGTGCAGGGAATTGTGCATTGCAGGCTAGCGTTCTCCTTCAAGGACAGAGCTGGTCAGCCCCTTTCCTCTGGGTCTGCAGGGAAGGGGAAGCGTCTGTAGCCCCCCTGCACTGCCCATTCCTGTGCTGTCTTCTGCAGCCTAGATACCAGAGAGTGGCAGAGTAGAGTGCAGGGGCCTGGTCGTTCTACTCTGTGGAGCGGGGTTTGCTCTCGGAGGGCATGAAAGGGCAGCTCGGCTTATTTCTTTTTCTTTTCTTTCCCAAGAATTTTACAGCTCTGATACCTGGAACCACCGTGGAGATTCTACACGGAGACTCCAAAAATATTATCCAGCTCATTATCAATGCGTACAGTGTAAGTTCCCTACTGCTTCCCTGCCCTCCCTCAACCGAGGCCCTAGAGCTGCTGTGGCTTCAGATGGGCAGTACACCGTGCTTGGGTGCTTGGCTCTGTACCCCCATCCTCTGCCCAGGGTCAGGTGGACCCTGATTGGTATATGCCTCCGTCCCTCCTGCTCCTCTGTGGTCTCTAGCTCATCCCAGTAAGCCAGTGAGTTGGACTTGGGCTTGTGGCCCTAGACTCAGCCACTCAGGCTCCTCCAGTGTGTCCAGGTGCTGAGGGCATTTCTGCAGGGAGTTCCCTCTCCTGTGTGGGGCAAGCAGGACACCGCCAGCAGCTGTGGGAAAGGCACATTCACCTTGCCACACAGCAGCCACGACAGCTGAGCTCCACGTACACACGGAACCAGACAGGTGGCCGAGCCCCACTAGGGAGGGACATCTCAAGACAATGTTTTGGATTCCATGCTTCAGGTCTGTGAGTAGGTCTTTGCAGGAACCCGAGTGGGCCTGGGAGATTCTGGGCCGTGGTAGTTCAGCATGGGGCCTTGGAGCTTGCATAGAAGAACAAGTGTTTATAGGCAGGTTCCCCAGTCACTGCCACTTCCCAGGCTGCTCCTCCAAGGAAGCTGTTCCCAAACCTTCTCTCTCCTTCCTTTTGTCTCAGCTCTCACCTTCTTGCTGAGAGGAGCGCAAGTGCTGTCTTCTGGGCAGAGCAGCTGCCCATCCTGTGAGCCCACTTCCTTACAACAGCTATTCATAGCCTAGGTGTGGTTTTAGTAATGTCATTCATCCTCAACTTTGGTAAAGGAGACTTTGGTAACTCTGGGAGCCTCAGTAACTCATGCACCCCCACCCCCCTTGCCTTGCTGTTCCCACAGTGCCTGGTTAAAGGCCGGTGTCTGGAACCCTGCTGGTTCCTTTGTTGACTCTGTCAACCTGCTGATGGCCCTGTTTGCAGCTTCACAGCACTGCTGAACTACACTGGGTGCCACAGGGGGTGCCCTGGGGCCTTGGAGGTGGCCAGGCCAGCAGAGGGGACTCCAGGCTGGTGACTCCCTCCCCTCTCCTCCACTCCCCTTCCCTGGCCCACCTCCATCTTATGCTGTAAGTAAGGATCCTCCTCTCACGGGCTCCGGCACCTCACTCACTCCTGGAACTTCCTGTTAAGAGAAACTAAAGACTTCCTTCTCCTCTCCTCTCCTGCTCTGCCTGCCCTGCACGCAAACATCCGCTTTTCTGATCTCTGACCTTCCAGTCCTCGCCAGCCCTGGGAACCAACTCAACCCAGAGCCCAGTGAGGCAGGCTTTCCATAGCAGCTTTCGTGGTTTGCACATTTCCATGCTGAGTCATTGGGTTTACATTTCAGGAAGCGGGAAGCTCAGCCAGGCCCCATTGCTGGGCCCCGCAGATGTGCTGCAATGGGACATGCCCAGAGGAAGTTTAAGCAGTGAATAAGCATGCCAGGGGTGCTGTGGCTGCTCTGCAGTGTGGGCCTTCTGGGTCTCGGTGCCCGGATGCTGAGCTGAAAGCTTGTCCTCTCAGGATGCTGGGCCTGAAGATCCCATGGGGAGGGGGAGGGTGGCCACAGCCGGGGAGACACAGCTTGGCATGTAGGGTGCAGCAAGGATGGACTTGTGGGCTTCTGCCCAGCATTTCCTTCCGGGATCCCCGGTGAAGACCCAGGACCCCTGCTGCTCACTGCTTAGGTAATGACACGCAGCCCCAGAAATGAGGTGAGCTTTCTGCTCTGTCAGCATTTGACGTGGCTGGCTGGTTCTGCACTCCCCGCTGTGTAGGGGACCACAGGAAGCTGAGGAGCAAGAGGCATGGCGATTGGCGCCCTGGGTGGGCACCGACAGATTCTTAGTTGTGTGCTATCAGGGAGGTGTGTGGCTTTTTATACTTTCACTTGTTCAGTGAAAACCCAGGGACCTTGGGGTCGTGGAGCCAAACAGGAACATTGTCAGTATAGGAGGCAGCGGCCAGGAGCTGCACTGGGACAAGGTTGAGAAGAGAACATGATATTTCCAGGCTAGAGCATGTTTGGAAGCGGTGTGAGCCACACTGTGACTCAGTGGGTTTGATCTGGTTCCTGTACAAACACATGGCATGAAAAGAGGCAGACAGCTTAGGAATGCACATTTGAAACTCAACTTTTAAAAAGATTTCTTTATAATACAGTTCATAGGCTCAAGGATACCTCCTCCCACCCTCCCATTCCCTCTCCTCCACACTGTTTCCCCCTGTATTACAGTAGAATAGTCCTTCAACAGCAGTCACAAGTCCGTCATTCTAATTGTATTCTGACATTCTAGGTGTAGACAATGATAGAAAGTCCAGCATTCTAAACTTTAAAAAAAAAAAAAAAGTGATTACTGAAATGCTGTCTACAGTAACTATTCAAAATTTAAAAAAAAAGTTTAAAAATTTCTGGGAATGACATTGTAGCTTAGTGGGTTAAGCTACCACCTGCAAGGCCAGCGTCCCATATGAGCACCAATTCAAGTCCTGGCTGTTCACTTCCAGTCCAGCTCTGTGCTGACATGCCTGGGAAAGCAGCAGAGGAGAGCCTGCGTTCTTGGACTCACTCTGTGTGTAAGACCAGGATGGAGTTCTAGGCTCCTGGCTTCAGCCTGGCCCATCCTGCCTGTGTGGTCAATTAGGGAGTGAACCAGCAGATGGACAATTTCTCTGCTGCTTCTCTACAACTCCCTCTCTGACTGCCTCCTTTTCAAATGATTTTATTTATTTACTTATTAGAATTTAAAACCTTATTGAGATATCATTAGCATACAACTTCAACCTTACTTGTTGAAGTCCTATTGGGACATCTGGATTAGTACTCAATGCTACTACTGTGATGGAGTCAGGAATACAAGTATTACTCTGCTCCTGTTTCCTGACATAAAGCTGTTAAAATCCACAGGCCCTAGAAGCATCTTTTGTTCTAGTATTTTGTCTCTCTCTCTCTCTTAAAGATTTGTTGATTTGGAAGGCTGAGTTAGGGAGAGAGAAAGATCTTTCATCCACTGGTTCACTCCCCTTGTGATTTCATCTGCCAGGATTGGAAGGCCAATGCTAGGAGCTTCAGCCAGCTTCTCACGAGGGTGGAAGGACCTAAGCTGTTGGGCCACTTTCCGCAGCTTTTCTAGGCACGTTAGCAGGGGGCTGGGTTCAGAGCAGCCCAAACCCCACCCTGTGTCCACATAGGATGCCAGCTCTGCAGGGAATGGTGGAACATGCTGTGCCACACCTCCAGTCCCAATATCTTGTCTTTGCTGTTATTCCTGACACACTTGGTAGTAATAGGAGCATCTGGTGATAGAACCTTGGTGGCAGCTGGCGAGTCTCAAGGTGGGAGCTGTTTGCCAGGGAAGCCAGCCACAAGCCAGAAGTTGGACCTTCTGGCTCCTTCCCTTCACCTCCTGAGAGAAGAAGCGGGGCTTGAAGGTTGCCTTGATTACAGGGGGACTACTGGTATCATCAGCCATGGCTTTGTAATGAAGCCCGCATAGAATCACAAAAGTACCGGATTGGGAGAGCTCTGGACTGAATGTGCAGAGGTGCCTGGAGTAGATACAGGTACACAGCACACCTTCCCACATGCATCCCCTGTGCATCTCTCAGGTTATGCATCTGAGTCCTTTATCAGATCCTTTATTAGTATGTGAGTACGTGGAAGAGAAGTTCCCCTGAGCTCTGGCCAGTTAACCAGAGTTCCCATCTTATCGGCTGCTGCCTTTCCTGGCAAGTCTCTGGCATGCATGCGTGGATGTAGGGGGGTAGCTGAGTGCTGGCTAGTAGTGAGGGCTCTCATGAGCTCGGGTTACCCTTCCACCTGCTCCTTTCTCTGGCCCAGGTCCAGTCCCAGCCCTCTTTGGCACATTGGGGCGCTGGGTGTCATCTCAAAGTCTAAGCAGTTTGGGTTGGATTTCACCTGACTCCCAGGACATATGACTGAATGCTGGTGTTGCCTTTCATCTCCCTTGGAGTACTGGTACCATGAAGCCCTCAGTGGGAACACGTATAGCCCATGAACTGGCTGTGGGAAGAGATAGAAAGGGCATATTTATTTTCACGTCTGGCAGAATCAAGCCTGTCATTGGACACATCAGGCTCAGTGTGAAACCTCCGAAACTTGGGTTTTTATCTAGCTCTGCAAGGGAGTTTGGCCACGTGGTGTTTTGCCCTGCCATGGGCTGTGGTGAGCGGTCCCCCGTCCAGGAGGCGTGCCAGCACCCGCTGTGCTGGGAGGGGGGAGGGAGGCCTCTCTAGAGCTGGAAACCACTGTGGCTGCGTGTACAGGCTGACTTCAGAGGCCCTCTGGCAGGTCATTCCCTCGGCACAACACATGCTTCTCTTTTGGTTGTTGCCATGAAGTCTGCTCCACCCACTGCACAGCTGGTCTAACTTAAAGCAGCTGCAGATGTGGCCCAGCCTGACCAAGTGTTTAGCGGAGCGGCCTTTAAACCGCCCACATGTTTGCCATTGTCTCCTTTGTCAGTGATGGAGTGTAAGGAATCACCTTCAGGAGCCATCTGGGAGAAGTTGATTGCATTTCGGGAGCCACACATAAGTCTTCATGTGAGAACTGACTGACTGTGGCTTTTATCTTAATCATATCCTCGCATTCCATTCATGGACTCATTCATTTAATATCTTTTTTAAAATGTATTCATTTATCTGGAAATGAGTTTATAGAGGGATAGAGAGAAATCTCCCATCCACTGATTTACTCCCCAGGTAACAGCATTGGCCAAGCTAAAGCCAAGAGCTTCTTCTTGGTCTCCCACATAGGTACAGGGTGCCCAAGCACTTGAGCCATCTTCCACTGCTCTCCCAGGCTCCTTAGCAGGGAGCTGGATTGTTAGTGAAGCAGCCAGCACTCAATGTGACAACCATATGGGATGCTGGCATTGCAAGTGGTGACCCTACCTGCTAAGCCACAATTTCAGCCCCTCACTCATTCATTTAACCGCTGTCTACTAATAGCATCAGGCTATGACTGGCAGCGTCACCGTGAACACAGTTCTGCCTCCAGGAGCCTTCTCACTAGGATCTAGCCTGATGAGCTGCCCCCTCCTAAGTCAGCAAGTCCATGTCCAGTGAGAGCCAGGCCTGGAATGGGACCAAAAAGTCCTGGACTGGTCCTGCCTGCCACTGGTGGCCAAGTGATCCTGTACGAGGATCACTGCCATGCCCCCACAAATGAGCAGTTTGAGCCAAGTCCTCTGCACAGCTGCTGCCGCCTGTGGTATGCTAAGAGTCCTGGTTGCAGGAGTTGTGTGGGGAGCAGGGGTAGTGCTGAGTTCGTGTCAGCGCACTCAGCTCCAGGTGCAATCTGCCTGATGATGGTGTTCAGTGTCCCACCCATCATCTCATGGCTACTGAAGGGTGCAGTAGGAGGCCCCGCCCCTTGTTACTGATTGGCACCATAAGAGGCCCCGCCCCTCGTGCTGCCTGCCTCTCCTCCAAGCCCTCCACTCTCACATCCAGAGCAGCATCCATAGGTCCAGCTCTGAAGAGCCAGTACCTCTTTGCCGTGAGCCATGCAGCCCCCTGTTCTCAGCGGCTGTTCACCCAAGGAGTTTCCTTTTTTCTTCTAAGATTTATTTTAAATTTTTATTTGGAAAGCAAAGTTACTGCGAAAGAAGGAGAGACAGGGAGAAGAGAAGGAGCTTCTTCTGGGTCTCCCACACAGGTGCAGGGTCCAGGGACTTAAGCCATCCTCCACTGCTTTCCTAGGCCATAAATAGGGAGCTGGATTGAAAGTGGAGTGGCCAGGGCTTGAACCAGCACCACAGACAGAGGCTAAGCCCACTATGCCACACACTGCCTCTCCCAAGTAATTTCTTATGTGACTTCCATCTGCCTTTTTTTTTTCTTGCGTGAGAAGCTGTTTTATCTATTTGGCCTGAGCCCCCTTAGCATGGCTGTTGGTAAAACAGCCTCCCCTGCACCCCAACAATGAGCAGCCTGGGCGGAGCCCAGAGGGAAGCCTGAGATGGCCCTTGGAGATCACTGATCACACCCAGCAACACAGCATGGTGGAAGGCGCTGCCATGGCCCCCGGCTGCTTAAGGCTGGCGCTTCGGAAGGGAGGTGGATTTAAGCGGGCTGACACTTCTGCACTTTGAGAGCTGTGAAAGTGCTTAGTTTGTTACAAAGAAACTGTTTATTGCAGAGTGTTTCCAGCAGGCTGCTAATTCATTGCGAAGACTGTATTATTTCACTACTTCAATCTAAGCACTTCATGCTACGCGAAAGAGAAAAATAGCTCACGATAGTGTGTGGCACTTCTTCCTGCCATGCCATTCCATGGCCACGCTCTCTGAGGTCCGCTGGACAGGAGGGAGGGGCTTAAGGGCTGGCAGGTGCTCTTGGGGTCTGGTTTTTTTTTTTAAGTTTTTGGTAAAATACAGCCTCTAAATACAAGGTGATTATTTAATTTGGCCTCAGCCTTCAAAGTGGTGTCTTCATATATATATATTATATATATATATTTCTTTGAAAGGTAGAATCACATGGAGGGGGAGAGAGAGATTCCATTCACAAAATCACTCCTCAGGGCCCGGCGGCGTGGCCTAGCAGCTAAAGTCTTCGCCTTAAACGCGCTGGGATCCCATATGGGTGCTGGTTCTAATCCCGGTAGCTCCACTTCCCATCCAGCTGCCTGCTTGTGGCCTAGGAAAGCAGTGGAGGACGGCCCAAAGCCTTGGGACCCTGTACCCGTGTGGGAAACCTGGAAGAAGTTCCTGGCTCCTGGCTTCGGATCGGCACAGCATTGGCCATTGCGCTCACTTGGGGAGTGAATCATCGGAGGGAAGATCTTCCTCTCTGTCTCTTCCTCTCTGTATATCTGACTTTCCAATAAATAAATCTTAAAAAAAAATCGCTCCCCAAATGACCGCAACAGGGGACTGGGCCAGACTGAAGCAGGAGCTTTTGATGTTATCCGAGGCTTGCACGTGGACGGCAGGGGCTCAGGTCCTCTACTGTCTTCCCAGGTGCGTTTGCAGGGAACTGGATGAGATGCCAGTATTGTCAGCAGTAGCTTAGCCGGCTCTGCCACAATTCCAGCCCCTCCATTCTATGAATGGACATTTGCATAATGTCTGGGATCTTGTTACAACAATAGTGTCTCTCTAAGTGTGTATTGATAGATGGGTTCCAGAAGGGTTTTATCCCCCTCCCACTAGCGGCGTGAGAGAGTCCCACTGCTTTGTGTCCCCTCCCACATTGTTTTCAGTCTTGTGATTTTCTGTTCTGATGGACGACTTTGACTTGGTTTTTGTTTTGTCTACCATCTTGAGAACATAAATCATGTGTGAGATAGGGTCCCTTCATAACAAAGTTTCAGATCCGTGAATTGGGGGCCTCACTTGCTAGGGGTTCGGCTTGAAGGTCCGGGCGGTAGGGTAGGTTCCTGGAGAAGGGGCCTGATGCTGAAGGATAACAGAGCTGGCATGGGAAAAGGGGACAGAGTGAGCCCCTGGCCGAGGGAAAACACGTTCTCCCAGACACGTGGGAGCAAGGTGTGAGGAGCAGGTCCGTCCCTTGGTGGGGGGAATTGACTTGGCTTTGGAAAGGTGTGCAAGCGCTGGAGCATGAGACCTGGCAGCAGATATGGGTCCCATCTGGCAGGGGTGCTGCCATCACCCTGGGCAGCAGCCCTAAGGCACTACTGGAGAAAAGGAAAAGCATGGAGAGGGGATGGGGAACCAAGGCCACCGCCAAGGAGACTGCCACACTGGAGGAAGTACCCCAGCTGTCACCAAATCAGTGTGGGGCACCTGTCAACGTCTGCCTTTACTGAGAGGTTTGTCTTCTCTCTGTTCAGAGCATCCGGTCGAAAGTGGAGCTGTCGGTCTGGGACCAGCCTGATGACCTCAGTCTCTTCTTCACTGCCACCTGCCAGGACGGTGCGTCCTACCCAGGCCAGAGGAAATGTGAGGGCCTGAAGATTGGGGACACGGTGAGTTTGTGCCTCAGGCTTGCCGAGCCGAGGGTTCCCTGGGAGCTCGGATTCGTTCTCTAGTTCAGTGTCATGGGAGAGTTACCTGTGACACATGTCTAAATGGCAGGGGGGTGCCTCTGAGGACCAGTCAGCAGGCATCCCCCAGTGTGTTGCCATGTAGGGCCTCTTCATACTGACATTGTGCCCACGGGGTTTTCTTCTTTTAGGTTTACTTGTTTGAAAATCGGAATTAAAGAGAGGGAGAGAGACAGAGAGAGATCTTCCATTCTCAGTTTACTACCCAAATGGCTAAAATGGCCAGGTAGGGGCCGGGGCAAAACAGGGCGAAGCACTTGAGTTATCTTCTGATGCTTTCCCAGGGAGCTAGAATGGAAGTGGAGCAGCTGGGACTTGAACCAGCGCCCATATGGGATGCTAGCAGCATAGGTGGCACTACAACACCAGCTCCCCCCTCAGTGTTTTCAAACACTGTCATCTTAGCTGGATGGGCATGCAAGCAGGTTGTGGAGCATGGAGAGGGATCGAAAAGACCTGGCTTCTTCCCCATAGCTTGCCGCGCACCTTGGCTACAAGACCTTATGCTTTTCCTTTCTGTAAAATATGAGGGAAGCCATCTGCCTGTCTAGTTTGATGAGCTGGAATGAGTGGCTCTGAAGCAACAGAGCTCAGATGAATGGATATGAATGGATGTGATTGGATGTGAAGGTGGATACCTGGTTGTCTGGCCAAGGACTGGCGAGTGGGAGGATGCATGATGATAAGAACACAGGTGCCAAGCACGGGCATGGAGGCCGGCCTGCTGGCGGCAGCGAAAGCTGTCCGTGCATATTCTTGTGCTCTCTCTCCCTCTGGGCACAGACTGCAAGATGCATGTCTGAATTGCTTTGCTGACAGTTACGTTGTTCAGAAAATAGGAAAGTAGCAAGGGGAAAGTTCTCCATATTTCAAAGAATCTGCTTGTAAGCAAGGATTACAGGAACCTTACAAATAGACAAGTATGTCCTCTGGGCATTGCTAAGTACTAAAGCTGGCCAGTGTGGCGATGAGCCGGCTTGGCCTTGGGCTGCCCGAGTTGAGCAAGCAAAAAACTGTGCCAACTAAGTAATGGATCTTGTTCTAAGATAGGTTGTTTCCAAATGTCTTGCTTTGAACAGACTTGAAAGAAGCCCTATCAGGTTTTCAGATAAGCCATCATGAACAGTTGTTTGTGGCATTTAACTCAGAAGGCTTTAGTAGAACAGGGTGGCGTTGCTGAAACTACTTCCTCATCCCTATCTTCCTGCTTACATGAATAAGGCTTTTTTGCATTTAAAGCTGTACAAAGGTAGAATTGGTGTGCATCCCTCTCTTGTTCAACGGTGTTTGTTTTATATACACGTGAACTATTGGGAAAAGCCTCATTTCCTTAAAGGGCATAGCTTAAAAAAAAAAAGTACTTTTCTGTGTTTAATCGTTGGCAGAAATGGCATTATATTTATGTTGTTTTGATCCATCATAATGACCACTCAATCCAGATGAATAAGAAAACCCCATGGAGTCCTGTAATTGCTAGGTTTAAAAAGATGGTTGTGAAAAATGTTAAGGAGATAGAACTATCCAGAAACTATCCTATAAGGATCTATGGGTGGAAATCTGGGTGCAGTGGGCCAGGACAGCTAAAGGAAGGGTGCATGAAAGAACCAAAAGCCCGTCCCTGGAGATGTGGCTCATGATGGGAAAGAGGGTGGCCGCTCCCTAACCAGAGATCTGCAGAACCCACAAATTTGGGGGCTCGGGAAACCAGTTGTTTCCAATGACATGCCACGTGAAATCAGGCAAAACGATGCAGGCTGCTGACCTCTCGGTCAGGCAGATTGGTTGCAGAGCCGACACACTTCCTACCAGTGTTGATAACATCAACCCGAGTGGGGGTGGAGAGGCCTTGACCCAGCCTTCAGTGTCTTGTCTGTGTTTACTACCGGCTTGGGTTACACTCACCAGGGACTTCCTTATCATCAGCTGTGGGTAGGTCACAAATCTGACCAAAACCTCTTATCTAAAGCAGGAAAACCAACCCAGCAGTTAAAAATACCTCCTCCACAGGCGGGCGGCTGGCATCAGCAGCGTGCATCTCTGGCTTGTCGTTCAGGATGTTCACAGCATGAAGGGCATCTGGTTGGACTGCAGTTTTGAGCAAAAAGACCTGATAGGTTCCGATGTCTCAAAGCTCACTAAATAGTGTCGCTTAAAAAATAAAAATAAATAATAAGGGCAGTTGAGGTGGCCTTAAAAGAAGTATTTTGAAACCCTGAAGACAATGATCCTACTCTGTTAAGAAAAAGAGTTATTTATTTGAAATGCAGCGTAACACAGAGGAGAAAGGGCGGTATCTTCCACCTGCTAGTTCATTCTCCAATTGCTGGCAGAGGCCGAGTCTGGGCCAGCAGAAGCCAGACTGTCGATCTCCCATGTGGGTAGGAGGGCCCAAGCTCTAGAGCCATAATCTACTGCCTTTCCGGCTACTTGAACAGGGAGCTGGATTTGAAACTACATTCCCATATGGAGTGCTGGCATTACAAGTGGTGACTCGATTCACTGCTCCTCAGTGCTGGCCCTGCTTTTGCTCTTCTCGGAATCACACTGCATCTGGAGTTGTATGTAAGGCCTTTTAAATTTTTCTTGTTTGCTGGAAGAGAGAGAGATACCGCCTGTCTGGTTCACTCCCCGATAGCCAGGGCTGGGTCAGGACTAAGCCAGGCACTGGGAACGGAGACTCCCGTGTGAGTAGCAGGGACCCATCTCCTTGAACCATCACCTGCTGCCTCCCTGGTTGTTCGCTGACAAGAAGCTGGAATCAGGAGCTGAGCTGGAGCTCAAACTCAGGCACTACGATATGAGATGTCAGCACCCCAGGCAGTGTCTTAACTCTCCCCTGGGTCCTTTTTAAAAAGAAAAAGTGACGAGGAACTGTGGAGATAGTTACTGGAAACCAGGAAGGGCAAAGGACCTGGGGCTCACGGGTCATGACCCCCATGAGGTTGGAATGGAATGCTGCTTGGAAGCAAGGCGCTGAGGCCTTAAGCACACATGGGAAGACCATTGCTAGGATCGTTTAGGGGTTTCTCATGCAGCCAACGGGGGACATGCGGTTAGTCTTCAGAAGATCTGGAAGCAACACACAGTGGGTAGTTCTGTGTCCCCCACCTGTTCCCTGGGGGGCGGGGGACTTAATTTATGCCGATACTTGAGAAAAGCCAAGGCTCGAGGATTTAATTTGTTGTGCAAGACTGCACAGCATTGAAGTGAAAGCTCGTAACCAGGTTTCTATGGTGCTTTTTAGCTTTTTAGGTTTTTTTTTTTTAATAATTATTTATTTTTATTGGAAAGTCAGATATACAGAGAGGAGGAGAGACAGAGGAAGATCCTCGTCTGCTGTCTGCAAATTCACTCCCCAAGTGGCCACAATGGCCGGAGCTGAGCCAATCTGAAGCCAGGAGCCAGGAGCTTCTTCCGGTTCTCCCACGCGGGTGCAGGGTCCCAAGGCTTTGGGCCATTCTCTGCTGTTTTCCCAGTCCACAGGCAGGGAGCTGGAGGGAAGCGGAGCAACTGAGACATGAAACAGTACTCATATGGGATCCTGATGTGTGCAAGGGGAGGATTTAACCACTAGGCTAGCATGCCAGGCCCCTCAATTGCCTTTTGTTTCAAAAGCAGTTGCATGAGTTGTTTTTGGCATTGGCAAGGAGAAGCAAGTTTATGGAAACACGCAGAGTGGTCAGAAAGCCCAGGGCCCAGTTAGCCTGGCCTCGGGCTGTCATCGTCTCACTGAGCTGCTACAGTCTCTGCAGTTTTCTTATCCTTTCAGTCTCTGTCTTATCTCAATCCTCCCGTTGCGTCTGCACCAGGCTTGCTTCCAACAGGCTTTTCCTAGAGAACTTTTATGTGACCTTTGTACAAACTGTTGTCAGAACAGGCCCTTTTTCTTCCTCAATATTGCAGTCAGTGCCGTAACCTTCTGTGCCCCAGAACCTGTGCTGGCTCTCTGGTTCTGTAGTCTGAGCCCTCTCCACCTATATACAACCTCTGGCTCCCATGATTCTGTTCTGTCATAGCTAAGTGCAACCTTCAAGATGTTCTTAAAAACTGTGTGTCATAAGAAAACTACACATGGATTTGGCAGTTTTTACACCAAATGCTTCCGTTTTCTGTGACACAGTCTTGAAGACAGGAACCTCCAGAGACAAGACAGTTTATTGAATGCCCCGATGACCTTGGGACCACATACCCTGCAACATGGTTGGGAAAATGAATACGGCTCCCCCTGCTGATGGGCCGCCTGAATAGTATGCCCAGGCTAACCCAGCTCAGAAGTAGCAGACTTACACCTGAGCCAGGGTCTTGACACCTCAGACCTTCTCATCTCCCCCACCACAGCCTCCCCAATGCAGAGGGAATCCTGGTTATTGTCACTTAAGAATGCGAATTTGTAAGATTCTGCACATCATGGGAAGACTATTCTGCTGCCTTCTCCATGTCTCACAGTGGCCCTGTAAGGTGGCCATTGCTTCCCCCACTTTCTGTGCAAAAACATGGAGGCTCAAGGGTGCCTTGAGAAACAGGCCAAGTGTCCTGCAGCTGGTGAGCCTTGTGCACCCATGTGCCAATTAGAGGACACTGATGCATCACCCACACTTTCCCCCCTAGGTTCTTGATCAACCCAAACTCAGGAATTGGAAGCATGAAAGGGACTGACATTGGGGTATTAGGAATTTGTAATTTCTGATACACACCGAGAGCTATATATCAGTGTTGCAAGGGTGGCAGGAAAAGTGGGACCACTTAAGAAAGTTCATGGAAAAGTGGAATTTTAAGGTCAGTTTCTTTAGGTGCATGAGACGAAGGTGGACTTACTGGACCTCAAGGAAGGAAGGTGCTGCCTTGAGATTCACCAAGAGCCTGTTGCTGAAGTTATGTACACATGTACACGCCTACCATGGGGGTGTCTCAATGCACATTTT